AGTCTTGATGATCGCGCGAAACCAGGTCACGAGTGGTGAGCAGTGTCTGTGTGTACTGTGTAGGTACTCAACTCTTCTCACATCTCTTAGCCTGCAATCACAGAATGCATGGGTGCTGCAAGGTGAGCGTGGGTTTGACAAGGCTGTGCAAGCGTCAGCGACTAGCGCGCGTCCGTGATGGCGGTGCTGCTGTACTGTACACCTGTGCTGATCATGTACGGGTGTGCGAGGCGTGCATCTGCCTCATCCGCCGTCTTGCTCGCAGCGGCAAAGAGCTGTTTAGTACCTGCATCTGTATGACATCTTGGCAGTCGCCAGTCATTCACGATTAAATCAAAAGTGAATGTGGATTCACGACTGAAATCGTGAAAAGGAGCCGTGAACCGATCACACACAAGTGTAAGTGTTCTCGAACATTTACAAACAGTGCTTGCCCTCGGTCCAACCACGCTAAGCTTCGGTGCCGAACAAGCTGCTCTGAGCTTCGCAGGCGTTATGCATGTGTCTTGCTAGCTGTTGCCGAGTGACTTGCTACCGCGTTACAGTCCGAGTACCGCCGCCACCTCTCGCTCTTCTCCCACCCGAACACTTACTCACGCGCGAATATGTTTGTGTGCGCTGACGAATCTGAACGAGACTAATGCGTCCCATTTACCGGTATTCATGCGTGCGGGGGAGACTTTAAGGCCCCGATTTCAGCTCTTTTGGGTGCACCGGCATCAATGGTCTGGCGACGCACACCAGTCAAGTGACGGTGCAAAGAACTCCATAGATTCGTGAGTCTGAATGGAGAATTGAGACTACAGCACTTGGGCCTCGTCGAAGAGACCTGTGCAAGACTGGCGAGCTGCTGTACTCACTGACTGCAATTTGAATCAAGAATGATGAGCGACTGGTCTGCACTCACGTGAATGTGCGGTGACTTTGCATGACTTTTGACTGCAATCGTGAATCACGCATGCATCACGATCCTCCCTCGGCTGTGGGGATTGGTCGCACCTGAAAGCGCGCTTGATCGGGCTTCTTCAATCGACGACGATCAGGGTTCGCTTCCGCTTCCGCTTCCGCATTCACTCTCATCTCATCCCTCCTTTGTGCTTCCTTTGTGTGCTGCGGCAGGTCTCGTACTTCCGTCTACGCAGTCCTGCATTCGAGCCCCCATCTCGACTCGGTCCTCGAGACCTCAAGTTTTACACTTTGACTCTTCGTCGCAGTGAGCGCATAGCATCGTGCAAAATGTCTAGTAGCAACGCAGGTCTCAGGTCGCCACAAGATGGCGCACTGTGCGGGCCGACAGATCTCGAGGCGATCATCGTGGGCGGTGGCGTGAGCGGCATCGCATCGGCTGTGCGTTTCCAATTGGATCTGCAACTCAATCGGTACCTCATCTTTGAGCAGAGCGATGATCTTGGTGAGTCTGGCAGGCAGTCAGTCTCCTCGACTGGCCCCTTCATGCGCGTATCTATGGCGTCCTGCTGTGCTGGAGATCGGGGCGGGCACTCGAGGCGACTAAGCGCTCGCGTCCTCATCGCTCACGATTGGAACTTGCATCTTGCCTCCCCCCCACGCTCTCTGGCCCAATGCGCAGGCGGCACTTGGCATCTCAACACTTACCCCGGCGCGGGTTGCGATATTCCCACTCGGCTCTACTCTTTCTCATTTGCGCAGAGGGACAATTGGGACATTTTCTTCTCATTGCAACCCGAGATCAAAGACTGTGAGAGGCTGCGAAGATTATCGGTGGAGTGGATAGGTGGATGGAGGAGTCGGCTTGGAAAATGCTGACACTATCGTGAACTGGGCTCGGGCGCGAC